TTATTTCAGTTACGAAGTGTTCTCAAATTCGTTTTATATACTCTTTTAGTAAATTGTAACTAGCCCAACACATATCAACTTATTTGCTCTCCTTCAATTCATGAGAAGAGAACGTTATCATGCGCCAAAAACAAATTTAGTCAGAAAAACTTAGTTCCTGGAAAGCAAAAATTATGAATCTTGCTCTTATATATAGTAAGTTACTTCCTCTAACACATGTGGTCAAAATCCGTTTTGTGGGTCCTTGATGCCGAAAAATCGATTAATTTAAAAAAATTTGTCTGTCCGTGATTGAACCTAGCGCCTAAACCGTTCACTCAATTTTCTCCAAAATTGATAATTCCCAACCTTTAGAATGAACTCGAGGCTTTCCGAGTCTGAAAAAGATATTTGAATTTTTTTTATTCTTTACGCGAAACTTCGACTTTTTCAACATATTCACATAAATGGCTTCATTTGTTCAAATTTAATTTTGTCCTCAAATAGCGCAAACAACATTAAAGAGTATGGTGAAGATCTCATATTCTTTGAAAACTCTGATTTCTCAAAAATTGCAGAAGTTCAATTTTTCGGCGTTTTGGTACAACAGTATTGGTGATACGGATATCTTCCCTTTGACTGAAATGTGATTTTAAAGACGGATCTTCAAATATAGTTAGTTGTAGGTTTATAAAAATGAGTAGTATTCACGTAATTTTGAGTAAAGTTATACAGTTTTAAAACTTTTTTTTTTGCTGTGTAATAGCTCCAAGTTTTTGTTAAAATTTATCCTCGCATATATCAAAGGACGGTAAAATATTGGTGCTAGTCCCATTTCGGAAACCTTACTGTTACAAAATGTTAACATTTTAAAACTACAGTATTGAAGACAGATTTTTACCTCTGTTCTAAAAAAATGTCTTTAAAGAGGCCTGTACTATTTTTAAGAAAAAATGTTTTCATGCAATTTATGCTAGAAATTCAGGCAATGTGTTAAACCATTATCATAAAGTGCTTCAATTTTTTTCTTTAATTTTTTCTACGCATGAAAGAAAAAACGCTTAAAATAATAGTGCAGATCTCATTTTCATTCAACACCGAATTATGGAATATTGCAAATTTAGATACATCAGAGTGTATGTTGTAGCACTATTTTCTTGATATACCGTACAAAAAATATGCCGGGGTACTTTACACATATTGGAATGTGCATAGTGAGAAAGTAAAAAATGCTACATCACAATTACATAATATTTGGTTTTGATTCTGTCACCGAAGACCACAGACTGTGACAGCAAAGGTCGGTGGCGACAGAACAAATTTAAAGCAATAAAATTAATCATATTGTCCAGTTATCAAACCATACGCTATGATATAATCACCCGCTGGTTAGAACTGAATACATTTCGAAATGTAAAAATTCTCTCCAGTATGAATAGTTTATATTGATCGGTATAGTTTCAAGGATAGAATTGTTTTTAATGTACTGAGATAACGTAAATATTTTATTCGGCGGATATTGTGCTGCTTGAATGTTGTAATACGTACATTTTGTTTGTGGCGTGAACATTGTGAATATTGTATGGCGTGAACATTGTGAATA